GTAAATGCAACCATTTGCAGCAGCAGCCTTTGTATTTACCTGAATGTTCCTTTTACGCATTCAAGGTTTTGATTTTAGGATTGGCTCTGTACGTAGAAGATCTGCTGAAAATTTCAATTGTTCGGTTTCATGCACTAAGTTAGCGATCTACAAGTTGCAGTCCAACCTACGTACTTGGCTCCTATAGCTTTGACTTTCTAATGATAATTCACAGTCTACTTTCTTCTGCGTTTTGTGAAAGACCTATGTTGACAAAGCCTACATATGTTCACAGTGCGATAGGATTACATATATTATATTAATACTTGTTTTAGAGTAAATAAAAGGCCATCACGTCAAATTCCATCAATACCTTAAGACCTTCCACCAAAACAACCGAACTAAGTAGCCTGTTATATTCTTCAAATAATCGGCAAATCGCAGGGTTCGGTTAACTTCTCAGTCAAAAAAAAACTTGTGGGCATCTCATTCCAGGTAGGGGTTCTACGGGGCCGGCAGAGGAGGATAGAAACGTGGTGTGTTCTCGGTTGTATTGACAGACAGTTTAGCAAGGGACCGACTAATAAAGGAGCAAGCGTTTAAAACCATATGCAACTTGGGTATTCATAGCAAAAGCAGAAGTCGCATTGTCCCGTCGCCGTCGCCTTGGATGTCGTCGTCAGCCCCACCCTCATCATCATCAGCATCCTCAAAATAATCACAAACAGTTAGTTAACATAACGAGGATTGGTTTAATCTTTCTGCTATCGCATGTCATCATCAATATTTATATCGCTGTTGCGAATTTCCAGGGTTATGTTTACAGATTTTACAGAGCAACCTATTTATCACATCGGTTTGTCAATTACGGCCTGAAATTTAACCACCCGCGATAAAGGCTTCCTGCTCACACGAAATGCAACGCTAAAAACAGCGGGGAATGTCTGTCAGGGCTTCCCATCTAAACTATAGGACTGATTATAAACACAGAAGTCACTCTGGACCGCGTTCAAACAACATGCTTTGCATCTCCAGGGGACCCAGTTACTTGGGGACATAACCGGCCAAACAACCTGTCACCCATACAGGATCTGCTCAAAGAAGAGTGGAATAGGTATTCCTGACCTACTTAAAACAGAGAAAAAATGTTTCCCTAACCAAGCACAGGGGACATTTGAGGTTAGGACAAGAAAAGCACTACACATTTCGACACTTTAATCTTTTAATGTGAACATATCAGTTGTCAAGATTCCTTTCAATTCTTTCCTCCCTACCGTTGAATTCACCAAACTTAAACGGACATACCAAAAACGATTATGCAAAAATCGTCCTTACATCTAGCCGCATTATTGAGGGACCCTACAATGTGCACATTATAATTGCTCCCATAGTATATTTCAATTCATAAATACATTTCATCAAGGAATTGGAGGGATCATAATTGAGGATCAATAAGTAATGCAAACATTTGCAGACTTTACCTAAAATCCCAGAAATTAATAGGGTTACTATTGTGTACTCTTGTGCCTTGAAGA